CGGCACATACTCATGGTGTGAAACTTTGGTCAGCGGCACCTTCAGTCGATGATGACATTTCCATGGTCTGTGGCAAGCGTTCCATTTCGCCGTATTTGGTGGAAGACAGGGAATTGGCTCATTTAGATACTACGGTTCGCCATACTATCCCTGCCATTAGCTGCATTATTTCAGCTGTTGACACTGTGGCGGAGGCTGTCAATCATGCCTATACGGACCAGGACGCATACATCAGGGGTAGTATGACTCTGATTTTAGACCAATTCCAGGTGGTCTTCGAGCAGTTGTCTCATTTTTTTGGCTATTTACTTGCAATACGGCGACGGGGTCTGTTGAATTTCTCCTCATGGGAAGATAGATTCAAGGCTGAATTATTTCGTCAACCATGGTCGGGGGATATGGTGTTCAGTGGGCCATTGCAGAAGTCACATCCAAGGTGGACTGTCTTAACCAATTTCAAGTATCTGTCGATCTCTTGGAATTGCAAAAAATTCAGCTCCAAGATTCTATGCGGCATTGCCGAACCGCACAATTTACCCCTTCTAACCCAGACCTCCGGGACTGTATGAAAGGCACGGCGCCTTCTCAAGCACGTGCTAGAAGCAGGAGGCCATTTCGTGGTTCTGCAGCACATCGCCCCTATCGACCTGACACTGGAACTGGACATAGACAATCCAAACAGTGACTCACGGAAGTCAGAGCTCGGATTGGTTCTGCCGGATCCGGTGGTTCCAGTGTTCGATTCCCCTGTAGGAGGGAGGTTAGGTCTGTTTGCTCCCAACTGGGAGTTTCTGGGAGATCCATTTGTCACAATGACTCTCATTCACGGCTATCGACTGCCTGTGGTCGGGGATCCACCCCTCACCTGTAGGAGGGAGGTTAGGTCTGTTTGCTCCCAACTGGGAGTTTCTGGGAGATCCATTTGTCACAATGACTCTCATTCACGGCTATCGACTGCCTGTGGTCGGGGATCCACCCCTCACCATTCAACCCTTGCAGCAAATATATCCTCTTGATCGGGCTGCAGTCCTTTTGACTACAATCCAAACTCTACTGGAGAAACATGCGATAGAACACCTAGATCAGGTGTGCATAACTCCAGGATTTTACTCCCCGATTTTTCTGGTGCCAAAGAAAAACTCCAGCAAGCTGCGTCTCATCTTCAATATGAAGACATTCAACGCTCAGTTCCTGCAACAACCACCTCATTTTCGCATGGTATCAGTCAGTCTTCTCCACTCAATTTTGAAGAAAGGGGATTTCCTCATATCCCTCGATCTTCAAGACGCATACCTGCACATTCCGATTCACCCAGATCATCGGGAATATTTAAGGTTCACCTACGGGGGCCATCACTTCCAATGAAACGTCCTTCCATTTGGAATCTCTACGGCCCCGTGGCTTTTTACTCGGGTGACCAAACCCATCAGCAGTTTCCTACATTCTCGGGGAGTGACCTTCGAAAGCTATATCGACGATTGTATTCAGGCACAACAGGATCCAATCGTTCTTCAAATCCATCGGGAGTTCACCATCAGGTGATCAAACAGTTAGGGTGGCTCCTCAATTATGAGAAGTCGGAGTTAACACCGGCTCGCAGACTTCAGTTCATAGGACCAATCTTCGACAAAGAACAAGCCAAGTTGTTTGTTCCCCAGGACAGGTGGACCAAAATTCAGCGTCTGGTTCCGCTAGCCTTGGATCACCCCAGAACTCTACGCCAGTGGCAGGAGTTGCTGGGCGTCTTAACGTCAGCTCAGGCTCTGAATTACAGAGGTCAACTGCAGCTTCGCCCACTTCAGTTATTTCTGCGCCCTCATCTTCAAACCAACAACCCTCAGGTGTTGATTCGGTTACCCAAGGAACTACGTCCAGTTCTGCATTGGTGGCTCAACGTACAGAATGTTTGCGCCGGCGTCTCTTTGGTGCCCTTCAGTCCAACCCATCAGTTGTTTGTGGACGCTTCTCTAGAAGGTTGGGGCGCCCACTTCCTTCAGCATTGAGTGGCAGGGCAGTGGTCGTCCGAAGACAAGTCACTCCACATAAACATTCTGGAGTTCAAGGCAGTATTACTGGCGATTCAGCACTGGGCGGTTCTACTCAAGATGTCTCACCTGCTGATCCAGTCCGACAACTCGACGGTAGTGTGGTACATCAATCACCTGGGGTCGACGGGTTCAGCAGCACTCCTACAGTGGACGTTTCGTTTCTATCTTCTGATAGATTCTCTCAACATCGTCGCAAGAGCCAGGCACATTCCCGGAACAAAGAACGTGATTGCCGACGCTCTGTCTCGTTCCAGTCGCCCGTCGTTTTGGACGATAATTTACCCGATCTCTCGCCCGAGTACCGACCTGTTTGCCACTCTGTTCAACTCCCAACTGCCGAGATTCGTATCTCCAATTCCAGATCCACTAGCTTGGGATCACAACGCCTTGGCCATTCCCTGGGAAGGTCTCTACGCTTATGCGTTTCCACCTCCGGCTCTACTTCACAAGGTCATTCAGAAAATTCTGTTAACTCACAAAGTACAACTGCTTTTGGTAGCGCCATTTTGGCCAGCGAGAAGTTGGTTCGTCAGCCTAAAAAGTCTAGTCAGTCGAAGCAGCATTCCTCTTCCCGTGCGGGACGACCTACTAGTTCATCCGCACTTGGGCGTGTATCACGAGTCACCACAGACGTTCAATCTTCACGTATGGCACATTTGCAGAAATCACTAATAGCCAAAGGTTATTCTCAGAGTGGCCTCAGCTATCACTGCAGCTCATCGTACGTCTACACGTTCTTTGTATGACGATAAGTGGAAGAAATTTGAATGTTATTGTCGGGTCAGAGGGATCGCTTCCCCTACTACTGCTTTGCCCCAGGTTGTTGCGGAATTTTTACAACATTTGCAGGCTACAAGGAAACTCAAGGGTTCCACTTTAGCCACCTACTTGGCGACTCTTAATTCGGTCCTAGCCATGACTTCTGGTACGAAGGTTTCGACAGTACCGGAACTGCAGTACTTACTTTGTTCTTTTAAGCTAGCCGACCAATCCAGGAAATTTCGTCCACCAGCTTGGGACTTATCCGTGGTCCTGCGCCACTTAGTGTCCGAGCATTATGAACCCTTACAGGACAAGGAATTTGAACAGGTTTCATTCAAGACCTTTTTTCTTATTGCCTTGGCCACAGCGGCACGTATATCAGAACTGCATGCTCTAGATGTCAACCGTGTCCGTTTTGAACAGAGTAGACATGACAAGGTAATTTTGGGATTGCGCTGGGATTTTGTCGCAAAGAACCAGTTGCCGGGTCAACCTGATCGTCTTTTTACAATCCCGCCTTTGACTACCATATTGGGTCCAGCTGATGTCGAAGATCTGTCTCTTTGTCCAGTCAGAGCACTTCGCATTTACCTTAAAGCATCGCAAGAGCGCCGCCGTCTGCGTAAGAGACTATTTATACCCTTGTCTACTACTTCCAAGGCGGAAGTCTCTTGCACAACACTCTCATATTGGCTACGAGCTACAATACTACGAGCCTACACTTTTGCCGGTTTGCCACCACCTACGGCAGTCAACCCTCATGAAACCAGGGCATTGGCTTCTACTATGGCGTTGCATAGCAACTGCTCGTTAACTGCCTTAATGGAGGGTTGTTTTTGGCGATCTGACACGGTCTTTTTGTCTCATTACCTCAGAGATGTGTCGGTGACGGATATTCAAGGCCTTCATCAGTTTGGACCACTCGTCCTTGCCCAGCAGTTATCAGCGGCACAACATCGCAGATAATGAACTTCCTTGTGCTCCGGTGCTAAATGGATCCCATTGTCGAGTTGATCCCAAGTCGTGATCGTTTCTGCTTGTGTACAATCTGAATAAATCTGAACAACTTTTTCTGATTTACGTCTTTATTTCTTCGGGGATTTAGATTTCTCCTCTCATTTGTTTGAGACTACAGAGAGTCGCCACCTCACTTACTGCCCTCTGCTCCATGGAGTAAATAAGTCAGTGAAGTGAGTCCTTCCCGAAGTGTTACACTTCGTAGCGTTCATGCTCCGAAGTGCCTATACACATCTATGTGATCTTACTGTGGTAAGTAGTGGAAGTCATAAGATGATGTTGTGGTACTGAACGTTAAAATTGTGAGTTTTACCGATTCAATTTCTCTTTCACCCTCCTCGGGACGGTGTCTGTGGGGGTTGTTTCGAAGCAGGGGCTGGCCCGATACTATTCGTTAGACTTTTATTACGGGGGTACCTTGGAAATCGTGGCGATACGACTGATTACACTCGTTAAGCTACGTCCTTTCACTTTGTGAAGGTAGTGACTGAACACCACATTGCTCGGGAATCTCGGTCCCTGGGAGCAATTGTCCTTAGTAAGTCAATGGGTTCGAACTAACCCTCGCACGTAGTAACTTGGTAGTTATTGGCCTACCTTGTAGTTGCTTCCTACGGTTGTTTGGGCATAACACTTAGCTGTTATCGCTTGAAGTTCAGGTAATCTATGACCAACCTTCCTACCGTGGGATAAGTGCAAGTCGTGAGATAGGATAAGTTTAAAAATTTGAAAATTTTAACTATAAATTGTATATTTATATACTTATCCTATCTCACGCGATAAAGTCCCTCCCTACCTCCCCACTACATAGATTACCACCGTTCCGGTTTTGTCCTATTATGGCTCCAAGATCGAGAATGAGTATGTGAGGTGATCACGTGGGTGAGGACTGCGCATGCCTCGTGTTGTCATGGACTAGTGAGCACGACTGAGACAGGAAGGCATGCACAGCACGGGGAGAGGGACAAGGTAGGTCTTGAGCAAAGTTTTAATTCGTTTCCACTCATGGTCGAATGAAGAGAGAGAGGTGCAAGTCGTGAGATAGGATAAGTATATAAATATACAATTTATAGTTAAAATTTTCAATTTCTTTTTGCTTTCAACATTGAAAATTAATTTTGTTTTGCTGATTAGGAAACACTGTGACAGTTTGGTTGTCTTTATATGTTTCAGGTCACTACCTGGATTCCCAACTTGGGCAACCGTCCTCATTACTCTTGTTGCACTCATCTTGATTGCCATAATAACAATTTTGGGAAGTATGTGGTGGTTCAGAAGATTGAGAACTAATGGTGGGTAACAGATAAATATATTTGATAGTGGCAAACCTAAAAGACATTAATATCTGATTATTGTTGGTCTGTACTGTAGTCATCTCATTTAAGATCTGTCACCAGACACAATACGTGTGCTGGTGGGTTCACCTGGTACTATACCTGTACTTGTAAGTTCACCAGGTACTATACCTGTACTTGTGGGTTCACCAGACGCTATACCTGTACCTGTGGGTTCACCAGGTACTATACCTGTGCTTGTGGGCTCACCAGACACTATACCTGTACCTGTGGGTTCACCAAGTACTATACCTGTACTTGTGGGTTCACCAGGCACTATACCTGTGCTTGTGAGTTCACCAAGTACTATACCTGTACTTGTGAGTTCACCAGGTACTATACCTGTGCTTGTGAGTTCACCAGGTACTATACCTGTACTTGTGGGTTCACCAGGCACTATACCAGAACTTGTGGGTTTACTAGGCACTATACCTGTACTTGTGGGTTTACCAGACACTATACCTGTACTTGTAAGTTCACCAGGTACTATACCTGCACTTGTGGGTTCACCAGGCACTATACCTGTACTTGTGGGTTCACTAGGTACTATACCTGTACTTGTGAGTTCACTAGGCACTATACCTGTACTTGTGGGTTCACCAGACACTATACCTGTACTTGTGGGTTCACCAGGCACTATAGCAATACTTGTGGGTTCACCAGCAACATAATTAAAATCATTATGTGAATCAGGAAATGTGAGTGTGACTATCCCAAGCCAAAACTGCATCAGGACATTAATGTGAATATCCCAGTTTTTAGCTCACTCCTGTCTCATTTGAAATGCTAAATCATAGGCTCAGTGACTTGATTGAGAGTTCTGTAATATTCAGAAACAAACACATCCAGTCTACAACTTTAGCCCTGCGACTTAGTGAAATTCCTTTGTCAAGTAAGCTCAGGAGTATTAGTCCATAATAAAAATATCATGTTATGTCAATGTTCTAACTGAAAAAAACTCTTTCAAGAAACAGGTCCCACGCGAATGCCGTCCAATTCATCCATCTCCCGTGACAGTACAGACAGTGGTGGCGGCCATCCGTCTACTCAGCCCCCACCCTACTCACAGATCAATCACACAAGTGGGAGCCAAGATCAACCATGTCCAAACAACGAGAACACAGGTAGGCCACCTCATCCCTGTCACATCCCCCAGAACACAGGTAGACCACCTCATCCCTGTCCCATCAACCAGAACACAGGTAGGCCACCTCATCCCTGTCCCATCAACCAGAACACAGGTAGGCCACCTCATCCCTGTCCCATCCACCAGAACACAGGTAGGCCACCTCATCCCTGTCCCATCCACCAGAACACAGGTAGGCCACCTCATCCCTGTCCCATCAACCAGGACACAGGTAGGCCACCTAATCCCTGTCCCATCAACCAGAACACAGGTAGGCCACCTCATGCCTGTCCCATCAACCAGAACACAGGTAGGCCACCTCATCCCTGTCACATCCCCCAGAACACAGGTAGGCCACCTCATCCCTGTCCCATCCACCAGAACACAGTTCGGCCACCTCATCCCTGTCCCATCCACCAGAACACATTTAGGCCACCTAATCCCTGTCACATCCCCCAGAACACAGGTAGGCCACCTCATCCCTGTCACATCCACCAGAACACAGGTAGGCCGCGCCATCCCTGTCCCATCAACCAGAACACATTTAGGCCACCTCATCCCTGTCCCATCCACCAGAACACAAGTAGACCACCTCATCCCTGTCACATCAACCTGAACACATTTAGGCCACCTCATCCCTGTCACATCCCCCAGAACACAGGTAGGCCACCTAATCCCTGTCCCATCAACCAGAACACAGGTAGGCCACCTCATCCCTGTCATATCAACCTGAACACAGTTAGTCCACCTCATCCCTGTCACATCCACCAGAACACAGGTAAGCCACCTCATCCCTGTCCCATCCACCAGAACAGAGGTAGGCCACCTCATCCCTGTCCCATCAACCAGAACACAGGTAGGCCACCTCCTCCCTGTCCCATCAACCAGAACACATTTAGGCCACCTCATGCCTGTCCAATCAACCAGAACACAGGTAGGCCACCTCCTCCCTGTCCCATCCACCAGAACACATTTAGGCCACCTCATCCCTGTCCCATCAACCAGAACACAGGTAGGCCACCTCCTCCCTGTCCCATCCACCAGAACACATTTAGGCCACCTCATGCCTGTCCCATCAACCAGAACACAGGTCGGCCACCTCATCCCTGTCCCATCCCCAAAAACACAGTTCGGCCACCTCATCCCTGTCCCATCCACCAGAACACATTTAGGCCACCTCATCCCTGTCACATCCCCCAGAACACAGGTAGGCCACCTCATCCCTGTCACATCCACCAGAACACAGGTCGGCCTCGTCATCCCTGTCCCATCAACCAGAACACATTTAGGCCAGCTCATCCCTGTCACATCCACCAGAACACAAGTAGACCACCTCATCCCTGTCACATCAACCTGAACACATTTAGGCCACCTCATCCCTGTCACATCCCCCAGAACACAGGTAGGCCACCTCATCCCTGTCACATCCACCAGAACAGAGGTAGGCCACCTCATCCCTGTCCCATCAACCAGAACACAGGTAGGCCAGCTCATCCCTGTCACATCCACCAGAACACAAGTAGACCACCTCATCCCTGTCACATCAACCTGAACACATTTAGGCCACCTCATCCCTGTCACATCAACCAGAATACAGGTAGGCCACCTCATCCCTGTCCCATCCACCAGAACACAGGTAGGCCACGTCATCCCTGTCCCATCCACCAGAACACATTTAGGCCACCTCATCCCTGTCACATCCACCAGAACACAAGTAGACCACCTCATCCCTGTCACATCAACCTGAACACATTTAGGCCACCTCATCCCTGTCCCATCCACCAAAACACATTTAGGCCACCTCATCCCTGTCCTATCCACTAGAACACAAGTAGACAACCTCATCCCTGTCACATCAACCAGAACACATTTAGGCCACCTCATCCCTGTCCCCTGTGACAACTTGTGCCTATTGTACATGCTGCTTTCAAACCTTGCTTGTCATAATGAGATCTGACAACTTGTGCCTATTGTACATGCTGCTTTCAACCCTTGCTTGTCGTAATGAGATCTGACAACTTGTGCCTATTGTACATGCTGCTTTCAACCCTTGCTTGTCGTAATGAGATCTGACAACTTGTGCCTATTGTACATGTTGCTTTCAACCCTTGCTTGTCGTAATGAGATCTGACAACTTGTGCCTATTGTACATGCTGCTTTCAACCCTTGCTTGTCGTAATGAAACCTGACAACTTGTGCCTATTGTACATGCTGCTTTCAACCCTTGCTTGTCGTAATGAGATCTGACAACTTGTGCCTATTGTACATGCTGCTTTCAACCCTTGCTTGTCATAATGAGATCTGACAACTTGTGCCTATTGTACATGTTGCTTTCAACCCTTGCTTGTCATAATGAGATCTGACAACTTGTGCCTATTGTACATGCTGCTTTCAACCCTTGCTTGTCGTAATGAGATCTGACAACTTGTGCCTATTGTACATGCTGCTTTCAACCCTTGCTTGTCATAATGAGATCTGACAACTTGTGCCTATTGTACATGTTGCTTTCAACCCTTGCTTGTCATAATGAGATCGGTTGGTCAGGCTCGTTATGTCTTCTAGCAGAAAATGGGTACCCAGTGTGATAAGTCACATTATTAGCCTTCTGGTGCCTCACAGCTTGGGTTATCCGGGGTTATAATCCCTACTGGACTTTGTTATGCGCTGTTGAACAGCTTCATGTTGGATACCAGGCGCCATAGAAATCCATTATTATCCCACCGGCATGTAATGCGGGGGGGATATAGTTGTCGCCTCGTCCGTCTGTCCGTACGTCCATAATCATTTTGTTTCTGGAGCATAACTCAAAGACCGTTTGATATTTTTCAACAAAAATTGGTAGATATGTCAAACATAACCTAAGGTGGTGCCTTTTGCTATTTACAGATTATTGTCATTTTTATTTTTCTCGGTTTCCATGGCAACGTTTTGGACTTAGTCTTAAAGAAGGGTGGGCTTCGTTTCCGGAGCATAACTCAAAAACAGCTTAATATTTTTCAACAAGACTTGGTAGATATATCAAACAGAACCTTAAGTGGTGCCTTTTGCTATTTGCAGATTTTTGGCATTTTTATTTTTCCTTGTTTCCATGGAAACGATTCGGACATAGTCCCAAAAGTGAGGGGTGGGCTTCGTTTCCAGAGCATAACTCAAAAACCGTATAAAATTTTTCTACAAAACTTGGTAGATATATCAAACAGATCCTAAAGTTGTGCCTTTTGCTATTGGCAGATGTTTGGCATTTTTCAAAAGTGAGGAGTGGGCTTTGTTTCCGGAGCACAACTCGAAAACTTCTTAATATCTTTCAGCAAAACTTGGCAGATATGTGAGTCAGAGCCCAAAGTGGTGCCTTTTGCTATTTGCAGATATTTGTGATTTATTATTTTCTCGGTTTCCATGGAAATGCTTCGGACTTAATCTCAAAATGAAGGGGTGGGTTTCGTTTCCGGGTCACAACTGGAAAACTTCTTAATATCTTTCAGCAAAACTTGGCAGATATGTGAGGCAGACGCCAAAGTGGTGCCTTTTGCTATTTGGCAGAATTTTGGCATATTTATTTTTCCCGGTTTCCATGGAAACGATTCGGACATAGTCCCAAAAGTGAGGGGTTGGCTTCGTTTCCAGAGCATAACTCAAAAACCATATAATATTTTTTCAACAAAACTTGGTAGATATATCAAACAGATCCTAAAGTTGTGCCTTTTGCTATTGGCAGATTTTTGGCATTTTTCAAAAGTGAGGAGTGGGCTTCGTTTCCGGAGCACAACTCGAAAACTTCTTAATATCTTTCAGCAAAACTTGGCAGATATGTGAGGCAGATCCCAAAGTGGTGCCTTTTGCTATTTGCAGATATTTGTGATTTATTATTTTCTCGGTTTCCATGGAAATGCTTCGGACTTAATCTCAAAATGAAGGGGTGGGTTTCGTTTCCGGGTCACAACTGGAAAACTTCTTAATATCTTTCAGCAAAACTTGGCAGATATGTGAGGCAGACGCCAAAGTGGTGCCTTTTGCTATTTGGCAGAATTTTGGCATATTTATTTTTCCCGATTTTCATGGAAACGATTCAGACTTAATCCCAAAAGGGAGGGTGGGCTTCGTTTCCAGAGTATAACTCAAGAACCGTTCAATATATTTCAACAAAACTTGGTAGATATATCAAACATAACCTTAAGTGGTGCCTTTTGCTATTTGCAGATTTTTGGCATTTTTATTTTTCCCAGTTTCCATGGAAACGATAGTCCCCAAAGTGAGGGGTGGGTTTTGTTTCCGGAGCACAACTCGAAAACTTCTCAATATCTTTCAGCAAAACTTGGCAGATATGTGAGGCAGATCTTGAAGTGGTGCCTTTTGCTATTTGCAAATTTTTGTGATTTAGTATTTTCTCAGTTTCCATGGAAACAATTCGGACTTAGTCTCATGAGGGAGGGGTAGGTTTTGTTTCCTGAGCAAAACGCGAAACCTTCTTAATATCTTTCAGCAAAACTTGGCAGATATGTGAGGCAGATCTTGAAGTGGTGCCTTTTGCTATTTGCAGATTTTTGTCATTCATTTTTTTCATGATTTCCATGGAAACGATTTGCACTTAGTCTAAAATCAAGCTGGACTTTTAGTAACTGTCAGATGATTTGTTCTTTCAAAGATGTGGGGGCCGGGGGGATATGTCATCTTCTGATTACTCTTGTTATCATTATGTCAATCACTTGATTGCCTGGTCCAGACTTGGTTATTTACAGACCACTGTCATATTGCTTGCTTGTTGCTGAGTGCGGCATAAAACTAAACTCTTAAACAAACAAACTATAACAGCGTTTCAGTGTCAAGCTATGGTTGTGGGTAATGAAATGTGGTTCATTCCAATATTCAATGTACCGTATTCACAGTGTTAAGTGCGCCCAACCAACTCCTCGACCATTCTCTTAAGTGAAGAAATGTAGAACGGATATATAATCATAACCATAATAAAGCGGATGTACGGACCTATACGGTCACGCTGAGCACTTCGTAGTAGCTTTGAATGCACAATTCCGCCAGGGTAATAATGTAACGCCAGAGAACAGCATCGCATTGGATTCTAGGCGCAAAAAAATATTATTATTATTATTATTATCTCATTGAAACAGTTTTGGTTTTGTCGACATTTGAGGTGTTTGTTGCAAGGTTTCTTAGATTTCAGCTTGACAATTGGCTGCATCTTTTTATCATAGATGTTGAACATTCTTCTTGTATAAGATGACTATTTGTGTCAGAACACTGTATATTACCGTAGATAAGCCAACCCTCTAACTTGACCCTTAAAATTAGTATCAAAATGGTATGTTTCGTACATAAGCCGACCCCGCCGATAGGGTCCTGATCCAGTCAACTCAGACCACAAGACAACTGGCAGTTATCTAGTAATAGTATCTAGGAAATATTTTACTGACCCTTTGTGGGAACCCATGTTTGTTTTCTTTATCTATATCATAACGATCACTGTTGGTATCAACAACGAGACAGTAATTTTGCTCAAAATGTTATAAAAGAATGTTTATATTGACTGCAGTGAAATCGTGTGTCTCTCTGATGTTTTTAACTATATGAAGACTTTCTCCATGTTGACAGGGTATTGCAATGGTGGCACCCCTGAAAGATGCCCTAATCAAAGAGGTATGTTTGTCAGGTGGAACAGGACATGTCTTTTGAAAACTTATTTTCTGTTGATATTCTCTGAGAAATGTATCCCTGTATATCATGCTTGTATGAGTTACTGTTATTATTCAAGTCGAAGACCCAGGTGAGATTCCCCACATGGATACAGTGTTTGAAGCCCGTTTCTAGTGTTCCACGCCATGATATTGCAGGAATATTGCCGAAAGAGGCATAAACTTGCTCACTCACTCACTCACTCACACTCACTCACTCACGCACGCACGCACGACGCACGCACGCTCGCTCGCTCGCTCGCTCGCTCACTTACCCGTTGATCACTGGATTGTCTGGTCCAGACTTGATTATTTATAGACCGCTGCCATGTAGCTGGAATATATGGTGGCCACATGAATACGTGCAAACACCTAGTTGCGGGTACAGCAACGTGCAGTGAACTTGGACAAAGTACTGTGACTATGTGTCCCAGTCCACCCAGCTGTGAATGGGTACCTCATTAGGATGAGAAAGCCACAATAACTCGGTGCGTCTAGTGGCTGCAAGAATTGTATACTCCCCAGGGAGTTGAGATTGATAATATGTTGTGCCGTTGAGATTGACATCCAGTGATAGAGGGGGAAAATACCAGCGCCTTGAGCAAGCACTAGTTGCCTGGATATCTACGCTATATAAATATCCTATAATAATAATAATATTGCTAAGTGCGCGTTATACAACCAACCAACCAACCCACCCTCAACAAATGAGGACATGTTTCCATTTACCAGTAACTCCCCATCATAGATGTTGTATAATGGGTCCATGTACATTTAAAATTTAACCCTATTGGACCAAAGTAGTGATTATAATGGATTGTACTTTTGAATTGGTGCGAGTCCATGGAATTGCTAAGTTTATTACTTAACAGAACACAGTGATGTTCATTGTCAGTATATATGGGAGGTAAATTCACAAAGTGAACAAATTAAAAAAATGATTTTGAATAATAAAACTTTCTTTTTGCTATCAAATATATAAATGCTTATTCATAAAAGATTTTTTCCTTTCAAAGTAATTTTCTCATTTTTTTTCTCAGCTAGACCATTTCAGAATTGCCGCTACGACACACCATCAGAACATCCCATCAATTATGCCAGTCTGTCATTTGAACCAGGTCAGCAATCATCAACCTCCTCCTTTCATCTGTCATCCAATGGGTTCAGCTCCGGATCATCTGGACCGCTGGACCGTGTCAGTGTGCCTGGACAAGCTCCAGATCAAACAGACAAGAAAGTTGCAGCAGGTGGTCGAGAGTCGGCCGGAGAGAATCAAAGAGTGGTGACGAAGCCACCATCAGGTGTTGTCCCTGTTGGTGAGGAGGAGGAGGAGGAGGAGGCTGCACTGTTGAGATCTGCCCCGAGTCTTGACCCAGACAGCATCAAGGACAGTCAGTAGAGACGACAGTGTACTGAAGAGAGGTGTATTGATGTGTACTGTGATGAGTATTAAGATGTGTCACCTCAGACATGAACTATAGATGTCACAGTCACAAACAATTTTTCAAGTATGATATGAAAACACCCTGACGGTTGTTTTTCCACATGTTGTGTTTGTGAAGTCATTCCCATGTCTAAGTCAGTTGTTTCTTGTTTATGTTTTGTTTGTTTTTTTATGTTTATGAGATTTTTGCTGATGGTGGTTGGGGATTTTCTGAAGTATCTGCTGCCTCCTTACGATCATGTTAGTTCTCACTTCAGCTACAGCAGTGCTGCAGCCAGACTGCGTAAAGCGGGATTCCCGCTAATTGTACTTACCTTGCCGCTTTATTTATAAATGTATTCGCCAATAATCGCACAAATTTATAATTTATGACGCCTGTTTATATACACCCTGGATACCGGGATACATTGGTTTTTGCGTAAATCGTCCAGATAACTGAATATCCGGATATCTGGATTTCTGTCATCCAAGTGTTGAAATGGTAGCAAGCATATACGTCTGGTTTAAAATCACTTCCAAAACAGTGTGGTCATTTTGATTTGCCAATTACAATTCACTCGGTGTCAGATAGGCCTACAAATCACCACCAATACCGTGCCGATTGGTAATTAATCCGGATTAGCAGACCTTTATACGTGTCAAGACACTTGGGACTCTTGCGCTTCACTACACACGGTCAGCAGAAGATCAAAGCTTCGTGCGGATAAGTGAGTCAATTTTGTGTTGATTTAGCTGGTTGGTTAGTTTACCGTCCGGGAACGGAAACCGCATATCTGTTATAGACAGTCACTTTTAAACCGGAAGAGATTGTTTTATGATGAAAATTGACAGGAAGGCAAGGTTTCCAGATATCTGCGGGGATATCCGGGGTCTCGCTGTATCGGCGTGTAATTAATTTCAAATTATGACTATTTTCATTAAAAGCGATGTCAAACATTCAGAAATCAAAGCCTAAATATTGAAATAGAATTCAAAACAAAGCTTCCTATGCTCAGCACATGCTAGTACGTCTATGTGCATACAAAATTGTAATTTGAACTGCTGTAAGGAGCTAGTTTCGCTGTACGGAGCTCGATTTGATGTGTGAAGTTTATCATCGAATCTCTTTGGCTGTCAAAATGTCAGAGAAGGATTACAGATTTTTCAACAGCTGGCAATAGGCCCACATTTTCTAAAACTGGCCCCTTCCAATGAAATTCTGTTTGCAGCACTGCTACAGAAGGAGAGCTCAGGGCATCCCACAGGTCGTGTCACAACGACCTTTTGTGAACTTTGCCCAACCAATGAAATGACTGACAAGTTCACGCTAGTGACTTCCAACCCAGATTATGCTTGAGAAAATATAGAATGAAATTTTGAAATGTGAACAAAAGAACATTGTATATACTCATGGAAACAAATAAGGGAACACATGAAAGTACAAGTGTTCCTTTATTTATTTCAAGAATTTCACCCACAGTTCAATACATGCCTTGTGAAGAAACCTTGAAAAGAAATCGGAAATAATGAAATCCTCTTGCCATAATTTTACAGTTATAAGATTATTTTCGTGTTGTTATGCGTAGGCAAACTGTTAACTGGGTATACGTTAACCCTGCAACTGTTAAAACTGAGAATGGCAATACCAATACTTTGCTGAAATCAAACGAACAAGATAAAATAAAATCCATTTTATGTATGCAATCATATGGTTAATATACTCATATGTTTAAGCTGGCAGTGAGGTAGCCCAGGGGTTAAAGCGTTCTCTCGTCTCGCCAAAGACCTGGGTTCGATTCCCCCCATGGGTACAATGTGTGAAGCCCATTACCGGTGTCCCCTACCGCTGGAGTATTGCTGAAAGCCGCGTAAAACTAAACTCACTCACTCATTTTAAGCAACACATGCAGTCTGCCTTTATAAGATGGAGACTTGAAATCTGAGTGTGCTAACTAACGTACAGTTGGTACCACTGTTACGTTGTTGGTTATGTTTAGAGACAGGAAGAAGTTTGAGCCAGGCCCAAAAGTGGACTGTGGGAGTAAGACATTGTTTCTCTGTACAGTGGAATATGTCAAATCCGGACTCTTTGTAATATGGATTTCTCGATAATCCAAACTACTCTCTGAGTGCCGGCAAAATTGTTCTTAATTTATCATTAAAGCTTGCTTTATAATCCGGACTCTCTCAATTACGGAGTACAGACTAAAATAACAGTCTCAATAACAAATATTGCTACGAGAACAATGCTTTGTAATCCGAAAGTAGCTGACTTAAATAACAGTTCGTCTAGCGATTTTTTATTGCAATTTTGACTGACAAAGTCGTCGTTTCATGTTTGTTCACACAAGGCGATACGATGTCATTTTCTTACCCCCTGACAAAAAAGTTTGATGAACGTGAAACTGCTTTCTTTTGTCCTCAAAATTTGGCTTATCATCATCAGTTGTTGACCTCCCAATGATTTGACGTCACTAAGAACACAGCTGACAATGCTATGACATCACGGCATTCTAGAAGTTAGCGAGTCAATGAAAAATACAACTTTATGGATAACAACTTCTTGCTCCTTGCAAAGAGCGACAATTCGGTGTAGGTTTTTAAACCGCTTTAGCTTTAATCTACACTGAGACGTCACTATGTGCAATAAATAAGAAGTTGTTATCCATAAAGTCGTCTGCTTCACTACTCTTGATCTGTTTGTTGAAGTATCCTGAATATTGCTATTAGTGAAATGTCTTGTACATGTCAGAGTGAGTGAGTGAGTTTAGTTTTACGCCGCACTGAGCAATATTCCAGCAACATGTCAGAAGTCGGTTATTATTGTGTGTGGTTTTGGCCTCAACACAGCTCAACACCCACCAGTGCAACTTGTTTTGAAAAACAGAAATTTTTATTTGTTTACATGCATCAATGGCATGTAAACAAATTCAAATATTTGTCTGATTAACCTTGACTTATCCACACATCGCTCTTAGAACACTGTAGATAGCCTTAAAGCTTCTGGTACCTTAATTCATCTCTCATCCTAGTTCATACTGACGTATACCTTGGTAGGAACAAGACGTTTAGCTGGCTGAACTTCTCTTATCCGTGTTCAGTGCAATTTTTGTATGAGTTCAGGGTATTTGTATGTGCAAATGTTCATTGTATGTTTTAATGTGAATGTGTTATACATATTTGTTGTCACTTCCAAGGATTTAAGATTATATTTTCTGTGACTCTAATGACCATATCAGCTTGTGTGTAACTTTTATATCAAAATAATATTTTAGAAATATATTTCTGTAAATCAAATAGAACATTTTTCAGTTTCTGAGCCAGGAGTTTCTGTGTTGCCAGCTAGGTCTTTGTGTGCAGCTCTATACGATATGATATTGTACATGTGCCTTGAACAGATTTGCCAGTTTGTATATGTGCCTTGAACAGATTTGCCAGTTTGTATATGTGCCTTGAACAGATTTGCCAGTTTGTATATGTGCTTTGAACAGATTTGCCAGTTTGTATATGTGCCTTGAAGGAATTATCTAATTTGTATGTTTGTCTTTAAAGGTTTGTCCAGTTTCTGAAAGGTTTGTCCAGTTTCTGAAAGGTTTGTCCAGTTTCTGAAAGGTTTGTCCAGTTTGTACATAGTTCTTGAAAGGCATTAAGAAGTTGGATAAACATCAATGCATGACATGTTTTAAGGATAACAACCTCTTTTCATTCTTTACACGACGTTTAAGAGCGAATTCTTGCTCCTTCATCAGATGAATGAGCAAGAATTACCCCTGAAATGTCGTGTAACGAATAGAAAGAAGTTGTTATCAATAAAGCGTGTCATGTATTCAGTTTGTACATGTGTCTGAAAAGCATTGGCCAGTTTGAATGTATGTAAGATAAGATAAGATACAATAAGATAATTCTTTATCGTCCCAAGGGAAATTTGTTTTGCATCATACGTTCTCCAGTTTTTCATTCATAAAGCAGTCATACATAACACTGCAATTGATAATCATGAAATAATCAGGATATAATTACATCAAATTAGTACACAAACATAGATATTGAATAGAATTTGGACAATTAAAAGACAAGTCATACACAGAATTTATTGTTAATACATCTAATACCAGCTGGAACAAATGAGTGGCGAACCCTGTTTGTTCTAAAAGTCGGCATACCCAGCCTCCGTCCAGAAGGTAATGTTTAATATTCAGTAAAAAAGTATGGAGTAGGATCACTTAAAATTTTTTTTGCCTTTTTTGAAATTTGCTGCTCATAACAACTGCCGATATTTCGATAGGAAGCCCAATAATTTTAGACGCAGTGTTTACGATTTTTGAGAGTTTGTTTTTATTCTGAACAGACAGGTTCCTGAACCAATGTCTTGAAATGATTGGCCAGTTTACCTTGATGGCATGTCTTAAAATGGTAGTCTAGTTTGTACATGTTGTGTTTGAAAGTGATTGGTCTGGGATGGGAGAAAGCGTAGAGGGATTTCACTGAGCAAACCAGATGTTATATAATATAGTACTTGTGGGTTAAAGCAAATGGCCAACCAGTATATCCTTGAAACTTCCCGAAAACAGTTATAGTGTTAAGAGCGCAACGCTCAATGTAGGCTCTAGACCAAGCCTTAAAATGCATGGAAATATCCAAAATAGCTTGAAAAGCTTTGAACCAATTTTCGCCTATGTGTGCAATTAATAGTTTAAGGGTTATTTATTTTAGTGATAGATTTGTGTGCCAGAGACCATTAAGAGTTCATGACAGACTTAATTTATTTTTTTCATTGTGAAAGTAAAATGTCTTGCAGTATATACACTAACTATAACAAACTACTCACGACCTAGCTGAAATGCCTCTGAAAATGACAGTTATAGCTTGAAAAGGGCTTGAATCGTTGGTTAGGTACTTGTATGAACATTTTTGCATTGCTGTAGAAACTATGAGCTATGTTAGAGCTTATGTACATGTCAATGGACATTCATTGCAAATAATATACAATCCTACAAATCTGACAAGTATCATTGTTTGTAACGAAAGTCCATTTGTCTGGCTTAACGCAGCATCAAGGCAACTGGATACTGCAAACAAGTCGAACAAATATTTTCTGAATTTTAAAACAGGTCAACAAATAAATTTAGAACTATACACAAACATGCTTTACAGACATTTTCTGCTCTTAATTTGTAATAATGAAAATGTTTATCGTCATGCTTTGATATGTACCTGCTGTACTTTAACTGCTTATACTGACTATGCATCGGTGCTATTTCATTGCTGTCCGTTATGCACATCTGTAGAATGATTGCACAGAAGCTGAAAATTTGCATTGTAAGTAGGTGAGTAGGTTGTTATAAATAACCATCAGTTGAAACAACAGAGTGATGTATTTTCATCGGCGTAAAACCAAACTCAGTCAGTGATGTATTTTCATTTATTGACTGAATGAGACATAACACAGCCATTAAACGTAGCATCATGAAATTGCATGAAAACATGATGGAGATCGAGTAGGCAAGCTGGGGTATTGCACAAACAGGAGTCACAAATCCATCAGAGACAGATTTGGGGCTGAAAGAAAAGTCTGGATATATATAGAAGGACTAAATAGTATTATCAGTACTGGAATCTACGGTTATAACGAAGGTCATTTGGAAAACAAATTTTAGGTTGTTAATGTTGTAGTTTGTTCCACCCATTTCAACTAAATGGCACAGCAAGTGTACGGGACCCAAGAAAGTTCATTGTATCCAGTTTGTTATAAGTATCTTTGGGGCGGTGGGGTAGCCTAGTGGTGAAAGCGTTCGCTCGTCACGCCGAAGACCTGGGTTCGATTCCCCTCATGGGTACAATGAGTGAAGCCTATTTCTGGGGTCCCCCGCCGTGATATTGCTGTAATATTGCTATAAGCGGCGTAAAACTAAACTCACTCACTCACTCACTCATAAGTATGTTTTTTTTAGATGTTGTTTACTGTTTTTCAGTACGCTGCATTATCATCTAATGGAGGGTGTTATTGGTGCAATAAAGCAATCTGATAAACTTGGTATCCAGATCTGCTAACTATGCAAATTACATCACTCCACGAACTACTGTTACAAAACTCCATACACGCCATGCGAATCCTAAAACGTTTAACATTTCATTGATGACGTCGCGAGTTTACATTGCGTGGATGAGTTTGTAAACAAACATGGCTGCCCCCATTCTCAAAATTGGTGATTCTGTAAGAATTGATGACAGAGCTTCTGGAGTCGCATAATACAATTTTTATTCCTAATATATGATATTCATGATATGGAAACACACTCGGTTAATAATCTCTATATATGCTTTCAAAAGGTACATTTTGCAATATTTCTCCTTTCGGTATATTGGGTAAAAATATGTAACTAGTAGCATAATATTTGTGTCGTTTGCCCTAAAATTGATACACAAATAATGTTTCTCACTGACACTGACTGACAAAACAGCAAAGATAAGTGATTATTCTCTCACTTTGTTACCTCCCTTGTATCCATGGCAACGAAATGGGGATGACTGATTCTTGTTAGTGATAAATGTGAATCACTGACAAACACTGAAGGTACCAATGTCTACGTGTTTGTATTGTGGTGCAAATACGAGTATTGTATATCAAAAAATGAAATTGCAATTCACAGTCATAAATTGAAGGTATATGGTCCCAGGGCTCCAGATAATAACCGTATCAGCGTATGTACGGATATAAAATGAGCACGATATGGTAGGAAATAGTTTAGAAAACATAGCAGATACGCAACACAGTAATGGTGTACGGTCTTAGAATCATTTACAGATGTATTTATCTAAAAAAAAGTATTGTTTTATTGTTTATTGACCTGTTTACACAAGAGTAGCAATGTTGTGGTGCATATATGAAACGAAACACAAGATCACTGATACTCCATTAAATTCCATTCAGTACTCTATATGTACTCTTAAGGTTCTCGAGTACTCTTAAATACTGAAAAAATAAGGAGTACTTACTCCTGATGTTGAAAACTTATCTGGAGCCCTGTAGTCCCAAGTAACATATATATGTACCTTAAGTGTGTTTTCTCCTATTGTAAGATTGAAAAATGAAATTACAATTCACTGCCATAATTTGAAGGTATATAGTCCCAGGTAACATATTTATGTACCTTAAGTGTATTTTCTCCAATTGTAGGGTAGAAAATAGAAGATGTTCGATGAAGGATATTGGGTGTGGTGTCAGTGACTCTGCGGTTGTTTGTAATACAAACTGGGCCGGTGGGGTAGCCTAGTGGTTAAAGCGTTGGCTCGTCACACCGAAGACCCGGGTTCGAATCCCCACATGGGTACAATGTGTGAAGCCCATTTCTGGTATCCCCTGCCGTGATGTTGCTGGAATATTGCTAAAAGCGGCGTAAAACCAAACTCAGTCAGTCAGTGTAATACAATCTCTAATACAATACTTACTTCCACAACACATTTTGTTTAGCGGTAGGGAGAACTAAGTCTGATTGTGATGTGATTGTGTTTGCTGTGCTGTGCCAATTTTCAATCATCCGAGGGCTACACAAAGTATGGATCTAGTTGACAAGTCTTCTATTCTATTTTTGTAAATGCCGCGGTGTCTGAGTAGGTTAAATCTGAAAGGGACTCAACCCAAAAATGTATTAGAATCTGTACCGTACTGAGAAAATGTAATCCCAAATATGACATGTTTCATATATCATGGTAAGATTATTTGGACTGAATGAAATTTCACTTTGTTTGTGTTTCAAAAATCATCTTTGATACAAAACACGAGCAGTTCTGTCACTGAAATGTGGAATATTTGTATCATATTTTATGCTTGTTTTCACATGAACAGTGGAATGAAGTCTATGATAATGCTGGTTCAGCTGTATCAGAATTGGTCGTCATTTTTGTAATAATTGTTATACAGTCAAATCCCGATGAGTCGAATGCCGGTGTCTCGAATATTATGCATAACTCGAAGTACCTGTCGGTCCCGACCATTCCCTGTTATAGTTGTCATCATTTGAAAACCGGCTACACGAATTCGTCTCATAAATACACACGATGACTCGAGAAGGAAATTTGGTCCCATGAGATTCAAACAACAGCAATCTTGTATACATAAGCCGAAGTCAGTCAATGAGAGGTTGATTGGTGTAGCAAACTGATCCAATTAACAAACCAGCGCGGCTCACGCCTTTCCGTGACGAGTGAGTTCAAACGGTAGATTAGTGATTTTACGGAAATCACTGTGTGTGCTAATCAGACTGGAACTGATAAGGTGCCCCTATTAGTGATAGGGAAATCATTAGATAAACAAATGCTTAGGCGGAGGAATTAGGACTGGATCATCTTTTTTTCTACCCTCATAGACATACCTATGTCTCGAATACATTGATAAGTCGAATTTATTACTTGGTCCCCAGCGATCAACTCATTGGGATTTGACTGTATACCATTTAATGTTATATATGTCATGATATCTGAGTTTAAACTTAAATCAAACTTTTTTATGGAACAAAGTTCACGAGCATCAGTTTTCAACATAAGTGTTTTGTGGAAAATGTTGTTTGTGTATTATTAGATCTGTTTGTTTTTACCCATGATGCAATATGAGGAGGTTGCTTCTCTCTAAACCAGCATTAACTCAGTCAACGACATTTGTGCGATCATGAATTTGGAGTCTGGTCTAACTGGTTTCTATTTCTATGATTTGTATACAGTTAAAGCGCGATTTCAAAATGCAAGCAATTTGTATAATTTTATCTATTTTGTTGATGCTTGAAATATATCTGTAAGCATGTATATATCTTTAAATATATCCCCTGATTTTTTCATCACTTGCGACCTGTGAAGATCTGGGTTTTCACAAAGCCATGATATTCGTAAGAGGTGACTAACAGGATTGAGTGGTCAGACTCATTGACTCGGTTGACACATGTCATCGTTTCCCAATTGGGTAGATCGATGCTCATGATTTTAAACATTGGATTGTCTGGTCCAGACTGGATTATTAACAGACCCTCATATGGCTGGAATATTGCTGATTGAGGCGCTAAGCAAGAAACAAATTCACAAAACACCTGATCACTTGCTTGTTGTAAGAGGCGACGTAATTGGATCAGACTCATGAGTGGATGTACTTGGATGTTGTCATACATCCGGCACTGGTTTGTCTCTTGGATCAGAGACGACACAAATATCTGATATCATATCAACTAGTCATGCTTGATATTAAATTATCACACCTTAGTCAGATTGCCTCAATAAATAAAGAAATGATTTTTCTGCTTATTGTGTATTTTTACCATCCAGGAGAAAGTGTTACACAATTTCATACAGCAAACATTAGGATACATCAGGTTGAAAGGTATTCTCAAACTTGTCTGATACTTAGGAAAAATGTCAGGCATTACAATGATGCTGTCTGAGACACAAGCTACAAACTGAAATGTGTGGAACACTGAATTAGGGGGAATTTAGGGGGAAATGGCCAGTCTAGCCATGGATGGTCATGTGTCCTTGACATAACCACCGCCTCTGTGGTGTAGTGGTTAGAGCGTCCACCCGGAGAGCGGAAGGTCGCGTGTTCGATCCCCGACCGCGTCATACCAAAAAGACGTTAGAATATGGTACTTGTTGGTCCCTGCCTGGCGCTTGGCATTAATGGGTACAACAAGGACTGGTCGGCTCAGAGCCCGTATAATGTGTCTGAGTGGGGTATTCATGCTTCACTGCGGCATGGTATCTCAGTGGGCTAGCACTATAAAACCAGCTTGAGTCTGGGCTAGTACAAACAGCCGCACATACACATACACACGCATGCACGTCGTCATATGAGCGAAATATTCTCAAGTATGACGTTAAACCCAATTTCACCTTGACATAACCAGGTACATCCACGTCATTAGTTGTTGACTGGGATGATTTCAAGTCATACCTGAAGGTGTGTGTCATTCCTCCGTCACTGCTCCAATTTAATCACTGGATTGTCTGGTCTTGTATAGCTAGAATATCGATGACATAAACAACAAATGAAAACATTAATTCCACAACAATGAAATTCAGTCAAACGGTTGTGGTGAAGTTGATGGGACCTTCATAAATAGTTTCAGTTACACGAGGACCGACGCTGCAAAATGATGAAAAGATGAAGGTGCAGTGACCAAGTTTTTGCTTGCTTTGACACATCATTGTTTGACATAACAGTATTTGACTGTATGTGGAACTCTCCACTGAGTTACTCCAGGAAGCTAAACAGCTGCTTTTTCTAAATCTGAGACAATTAATCACACAAATTTTACCTACCTTAGGTTGTGAAAGTTCTGTTCAGGTGCAAATATCAGTGTACCATTATTCCAAAGTACCCTTCTAGATGCACTCTCTTCTGCCACTGATACTGAGGTGCATGGGTCACACTTGAGCACATGGATCCCTCTGGAATGCATGGATCCTGAGGCACATGGATCCCTCTGGAATGCGTGGATCCTGAGGCACATGGATCCCACTGGAATGCGTGGATCCTGAGGCACATGGATCCCACTGGAATGCGTGGATCCTGAGGCACATGGATCCCACTGGAATGCATGGATCCTGAGGCACATGGATCCCTCTGGAATGCGTGGATCCTGAGGCACATGGATCCCACTGGAATGCATGGATCCTGAGGCACATGGATCCTGAGGCACATGGATCCCATGGGAGTGCATGGATCCTGAGGCACATGGATCCCACTGGAATGCATGGATTCTGAGGCACATGGATCCCACTGGAATGCGTTGATCCTGAGGCACATGGATCCCACTGGAATGCGTGGATCCTGAGGCACATGGATCCCACTGGAATGCGTGGATCCTGAGGCACATGGATCCCTCTGGAATGCGTGGATCCTGAGGCACGTGGATCCCACTGGAATGCATGGATCCTGAGGCACATGGATCCCTCTGGAATGCGTGGATCCTGAGGCACATGGATCCCACTGGAATGCATGGATCCTGAGGCACATGGATCCACTGGAATGCATGGATCCTGAGGCACATGGATCCCATGGGAGTGCATGGATCCTGGGGCACATGGATCCCGCTGGAATGCATGGATCCTGAGGCACATGGATCCCACTGGAATGCATGGATCCTGAGGCACATGGATCCACTGGAATGCATGGATCCTGAGGCACATGGATCCCATGGGAGTGC